CCCCCGCACGCGCCTGCGCGGGCCTTGCTGTCCTGCCTTCCTGCGGCTGTGCACGGTTCGAACGCGCGTGAAAGCCTGAAATCAAGATTAAGCGATACCAAGCCATGGTTTATCACCCACTTACTGTCATGGGCTGACTCGTGTCCCCCCAGAATTCCCGTGTTGTAGTCCTAACCCCCAGCACCTCAGAATGACTGTATTTGGAGATAGGGTCTTTAAAGGTGTGATTAAGGTAAAATGAGGCCCTGAGCTGAGCTCTAATATAACTGGTGTCCTTAGAAGAGGATACCAGAGTGCGGTGGCCCACATCTGTATTCCCAGCGCTCTGGCAGGCAGAGGCAGAGGATCGCAAGGGTCACTTGAGGCCAGGAGTTCAAGAGCAGCCTGAGCAACCTGAGTGAGATTCCGTCTCTACAAAAAAAAATAACAAAAACATCGCTTTGGAGTTTCGGAAAATTTTAGGAGTTGTATGCCAGGACACAGGGTTAAAGACCAAATCTGTATTTCACAAAAACACACAGCCCAGTTTATGGATTTCAGGATTTGCTGCTTATTCAAGTTTAATGAGGTTTTCTTTAACTTCCTTGACATTTCTCTTTGGAGAATTAGTCAATAAATAGTTCAGGTCTGTTCTTTACTTTGGGATCTGAGCACTTGAGATGAGCCATGACGTCACTCTGGGGCCATTTTGTGTGGCTCAGAGTTGGCCGGGCCGCAGGGCGGGCGAGGGGTTCCGCTTCCGGTCCCATAGAACTGGGAGGACGCAGGGTCAGGGGACCCACCCGGGCCCAGCCCAGGTTCATCCCCAGGCCCAGCGCTGAGCGTGGGAGCGCGGGAGCCTCAGGGGCGGGCCGCCGGCAGAGTGACGTGCGCTGGGACCAATCAGCGCGCGGGGCACCCCCAGGTCGCCCTGCCGGGCGGGGCAGGCATAGCCAGGGAGGACCACACAGGAGGAACAGGGGTTGAATCGTCTTGGGGGGCCAGCGGGTAACGCAACAGCAATCCTTGCGGGCACGTGACTCGGCCGCATTTCTTTGAGTGCCCGCCTGCCTGCCTGCCTCGAGAAAGTGGCCCTGGGATGGGGGCTTCCCATCTGGGGTCTCTGCTTTTGTTTAGTCTAGTGGTCAGCACCCCAGACTCCCTCAGCCTTGTATCCTCGGCTCCTCTCCTGGGTGATGGGGTCTTGGAAAATGCTGGGGTGCTGGGCGTCGACCTCTCGTGCTAGGTACACTGGGAAAGGTCAAAGGAAACAATGAGAACCTCAAATCCAGGTTGGGGAGACAGGCCCCAGGGGAAAAGGGGGTGTCCATGGGCCTTGTCCTGCCTGGGTCCTGGCCCTGAGGTCACTGCCCAGGCTGCAGTCTGTGTCTGGGCTAATACTGTAGGCTGGGAAAGACCCTTACCATCCACCCACCACCCAATCGCCCCCCAAAGACAGAAAGGCCACCCACACTGATGCCCCGCCACCCCCAGGCCCTGGTCTGCAGGCCAGCCAGGGCCTTGTGCTGACTCCACATAACCCATCCTCTCTTCTCCTCCAGGTCAGAAGTCAAGTGGGATTCTTTGACACCTCCACATCCTGGTCCCCGCCCAGCTAGGGCAGTGCCAGCGCCAGCTTGGACACGAGGTCGGTTTGAGAACTAGCCGGTGGGGTAGCCTGTGGGCCTCCAGATTGGGGTGAGGCCGGGCCAGGCTTCAGTGCTGTGGTCTGCAGAGTACAGACAGGTACCTGGCCCACTCTCCCTGTGACCACAGGGCGAAGGGTAGCGGGCATTCTGTGGGGGCCAACTAACTGAGCTCATGTCCCCTAAGTGCTTGTCTCTGACACTTGGCACTCAGGGACACCAGTTTCTATGAACATGGATGAGGTACACCAGATACTGTGTGGGGACGAGCTCTGGATCCACCCCCAGCTCTGCCACTTCCTGGCTGAGTTGGTCACCCTGGCGTGCCTCAGTGTCCCATCTGTCAACTGGGTCAGTAAGAGCGGCTGACTTTCATAACGTGGGGCTAGAAGGTCGATGGGGAAGTGCGTGGAAACACTTCGCCTGTGCTCGGCACGTGAGAGGCCCGTGGGCCGTCACTCATAGCATCAGCGTCCGTCGCCCCACAGCCCTTCAGGAGAGGTGTCTGTTGTGCACATTTTAGAGACGGGGAAAGTGAGGCTTGGACAGGGGAGGGGACCCAAGACTGCCAGGAGAGGACCCAGCAGAGAAGCAGCAGCCCAGGGTCCCCAGCTCCAGCAGGTCCCTCCCAGCCTCTCAGCCCCAGGGACACCCAGGTAGCCCATCTGCCCAACCTCCTTCCCAGCCCATTTCTAGAGCCCCAGGCCCAGGGCCTCCTCCACTGACTGGGATTTTGCCTCCTTAGGACGGAGCCCCTGGACTCCCAAGTTCCTTGCCAGGGAGGAGGAGAAATCCATCTGCCTGGGACTGAGTGTGGCCTGAGGGACAGGCCATAGGTCCTGGAATGCCCCTGCCTGAGGCCAGTGAGCAGGAGGGCGAGAGCGTGAAGGCCGGCCAGGAGCCATCCGTGAAGCCTGGCCAGGAGCCATCTGCTGATCCAGGCACGGATGTCATCCCGGCAGCCCCCAGGAAGCCCAAGAAGTTCTCCAAACTGGTCCTGCTGACAGCCTCCAAAGACAGCGCCAAAGTGGCAGGGGCCAAGCGCAAAGGCGTGCACTGCATCATGTCCCTGGGGGTGCCTGGCCCCGCCACCCTTGCCAAGGCCCTCCTCAAGACCCACCCCGAGGCCCAGCGGGCCATTGAGGCGGCCCCCCAGGAGCCGGAGCCGAAACGCAGCAAGCTGGATGCGGGTGAGGCTCTGGCACAGGGCGCGCCTCCCCAGTGCCGGCGCCCTTCAGCCGCCCCCCACGGCGGCCTGCTCCAGTCCCACTTCTGCTTGTCCTTGGTCCTCGTTCCCCTGCTTCCTTTGACCACGTGTGGGAAGCGGGGGCACAGGGGCTGCAGGCACAAGCCTGGGCATCCCTCTTTGTGGCCCCCAGTCCCGAGACTCTGAGGCGATCTTGCCTCTGCGCCCGTCCCCTCCTCTGAAACGTGCTGCCCACAGCTTGGGCGGCTCCCCCACAGGAGTGTCTGAGGGCAGTGGCACCGCGTCTCCGGGTGGCTGCTGGCAGAGGTTCAAGGCTTTGGCCCCAGCTGCGAGATGAGCATCTCTAAAGGCCAGGAGCACTATGGTTGCCTTTCCACACGTTCTAGAAAGCACCTTCACCTCACTCACGCAGTCACTAAGTCACTGAATCCACGTGTACTGAGCAGCAGCCTGTGCAGGCCAGGCGCTGGGGACGCAAGTGGGTGAGCGGGACAAGACCCCTGACATACAGGCCTCCTACAGGCAGAGGACAAAGGTCAGGATCTTGACCTGGCCTCTCCTGCCCAAGCCTCACACTCCATGGAGCCCCTAGGGACTGACAGCTCAGGGCTCCCAGGCCCTCCTGGGTGCCCTGGGGGAGGGTGGCAGGGAGTGCTGCGGGCTGGCAGGAGGTGACCAGGCAGGTTTGTGGCCCTACTCCCTGATTTTGGGGAGATGGAGTCAGCCACCCTCGGCTCTGGCCCTTCTGTTGTGCTAGACCTTTCCCTGAGCCAGACTTGGGGGGATGCAGCAGGTGGGGGGGTGGTGGCAGAGAGTGGAATGAGGGCCAGGGCTGCCCCTTTCTGTGCACCCAGCTCTCCCTGGGCAGCCTGGAACCTGCCATGCTGTCCCCTGCAGAGGACAGACCCCCTGACTCTCCCAACAGCAGATTGTCAGGATTCCTGGGTCCTGCCTCGGGGCCCTGCGGGAGCAGTGGGCAGCAGGGGAGATGGGCTGGTGGGGTCTTGTGGTGACCCTGGAGCAGGCAGGAGGATGGGCACAGGGGGCGGGCTGTGGGGAGGGCGGGGCTGGCGGGAGGGAGCCTGTGAGGTGCGACCTCCCTGAGCTGGGCAGCCTGGAGAGCGCTGTGCTGTGACCAGTTCTGCACGCACTGTGTGGGGGCCTGCATGTGTCTGTGGTCCTTCTACGTGTGTATCTGCCTAGGAGGGCGTGTTTTTCTGTGCGTCCCAGGTTGGAGTGGGTCTGTGTGTTCTCGTGTTTCTGTATTCACGTGTCGAGTAGAGGGCCTGAGTCTGGTTCTGTGTCGGAGTCGATGCAAGGCCTCAAGCAGACCTTCCACCCCCAGCAGCCTCGGCCTGAGTGACGTGGCACCTGGTCACGCCTTTGGGTGGGAAATTCTGGGCTGTGCCCCAGGGCTGCTCTGTGGGCAGAAGGGGATGGCCTGGGTTTCTTCCGAACCGGAAGTGGGATCCGCCATTCCCTGAGAAGAGGGATGAGGAAAGCTATGGCAGTTGCTACCTACCTCTGAACAGGTGGCCCCTGAGGGTCA